TGTGTGTGGCAGTGTGTGTGAAAATTTGTGTGAGAGTGTGTGTGACAGTGTGTGTGTGACACTGTGTGTGAAAATGTGTGTGAGACAATGTGTGTGTGACAGTGTGTGCGTGATAGTGTGTGTGCCTGTGTGTGTGACAGTGAGTGTGTCAATGTGTGTGACAGTCTGTGTGAGTGTGAGTGTGACAATGTGTGACAGTGTGTGTGTGTGATAGTGTGTGTGACATTGTGTGTGACTTTATGTGTGACACTGTGTGTGGCAGTGTGTGTGAAAATTTGTGTGAGAGTGTGAGTGTGTGTGACAGTGTGTGTGTGTGACAGTGTGCGTGCGGCATTGTGTGTGTGATATTGTGTGTGACAGTGTGTGTGAGACAGTGTGTGTGACAGATTGTGTGATAGTCTGTGTAAACAGTGCGTGTGGCAATGTGTGTGACAGTGTGAGTGTGACAGTGTGTGTGTGCCAGTGTGTGTGTGATAGTGTCTGTGTGACAGTATGTGCGTGGCATTGTGTGTGTGATATTGTGTGTGACAGTGTGTGTGAGACAGTGTGTGTGACAGATTGTGTGATAGCCTGTGTACACAGTGGGTGTGACAGTCCATGTGGCAATGTGTGTGATAGTGTGAGTGTGATAATGTGTGACAGTGTGTGTGACAGTGTGTGTGGCAGTGTGTGTGATAGTGTGAGTGTGACAATGTGTGACAGTGTGTGTGACAGTGTGTGTAGCAGTGTGTGTAGCAGTGTGAGTGTGACAGTGTGTGTGACAGATTGTGTGATAGTCTGTGTAAACAGTGCGAGTGGCAATGTGTGTGATAGTGTGAGTGTGACAGTGTGTGTGTGTCAGTGCATGTGTGATAGTGTGACAGTATGTGTGTGTGACAGTGAGTGTGTGTGACAGTGTGTGTTTGTGACAGTGGGTGTGTGACAGTGTGTGTTTGTGTGTGTGTGTGACAGTGTGTGTGTGACAGTGTGAGTGTGTGTGTCAGTGTGTGTTTGTGACAGTGTGACAGTGTGTGTGGCAGTGTGTGTGTAACAGTGTGTGTTTGTGTGTGTGTGTCAGTGTGTGACAGTGTGTGTGACAGTGTGTGTGTGACAGTGTGTGTGTGTGTGTGTGTGACAGTGTGAGTGTGTGTGTCAGTGTGTGTGACAGTGTGTGTGTATCAGTGTGTGTGACAGTGTGTGTGACAGTGTGTGTGTGAAAGTGTGTGTGTGAGACATTGTGTGTGTGTGTGTGACAGTGTGTATGACAATGTTTGACTGTGTGTGAAAGTGTGTGTGTGTGTGACAGTGTGTGTGTGACAGAGTGTGTGTGTGACAGTGTGTGTGACATTGTGTGTGTGTCAGTGTGTGTGACATTGTGTGTGACAGTGTTTGTGTGACAGTGTGTGTGACACTATGTGTGCCTGGTGTGTGTAACAGTGTGTGTGACAGCTTGTGTGACAGTCTGTGTAAACAGTGTGTGTGACAGTGTGTGTGATAGTGTGAGTGTGACAGTGTGTGACAGTGTGTGTCAGTGTGTGTGTTAGTGTGTGTGACAGTGTGTGCGTGTGACAGTGTCTGAGTGTGTGTGTAAATGTGTGTGTTAGTGTGTTTGACAGTGTGTGTGACAGTTTATGTGTGACAGTGTGTATGTATTAGTGTGTGTGTGATGCTGTGTGTGTGGTTGTGTGTGTGACAGTGTGTGTGACAGTATTTGTGATAGTGTGTGTGTGACAGTGTGTGTGTGTTATAGTGTGTGTGACAATGTGTGTGACAGTGTGTGACAGTTTATGTGTGTGACAGGTGTATGTATCAGTGTATGTGACTGTGTGTGTGTGTGTCAGTGTGTGTGTTAGTGTGTGTGACAGTGTCTGTGTGACAGTGCGGCATTGTGTGTGTGATACTGTGTATGACTGGTGTGTGTGACAGTTTGTGTGAGACAGTGTGTGTGTGTAAATGTGTGTGTGAAAGGTTGTGTGAGTGTGTAAACAGTGTGTGTGACAATGTGTGTGACAGTGCATGTGGCAATGTTTGTAATAGTGTGAGTGTGACAATGTGTGTCAGTGTGTGTGACAGTCTGTGTGAGACAGTGTGTGAATGGTGTGTGTGACAGTGTGTGTGAGACAGTGTGTGAATGGTGTGTGTGACAGTGTGTGTGAGACAGTGTGTGAATGATGTGTGTGACAGTGTGTGTGAGACAGTGTGTGAATGATGTGTGTGACGGTGTGTGTGAGACAGTGTGTGTGTGAGTTGGTGGCAGTGGGTGTGTGTGAGTTGGTGGCAGTGGGTGTGTGTGTGAGTTGGTGGCAGTGTGTGAGTTGGTGGCAGTGTGTGTGTGTGTGAGTTGGTGGCAGTGGGTGTGTGTGTGAGTTGGTGGCAGTGGGTGTGTGTGTGAGTTGGTGGCAGTGTGTGAGTGTGACAGTGTGTGTGTGTGTGAGTTGGTGGCAGTGGGTGTGTGTGTGAGTTGGTGGCAGTGGGTGTGTGTGTGAGTTGGTGGCAGTGGGTGTGTGTGAGTTGGTGGCAGTGGGTGTGTGTGAGTTGGTGTGTGTGTGTGTGTGAGTTGGTGTGTGTGTGAGTTGGTGGCAGTGGGTGTGTGTGTGAGTTGGTGGCAGTGTGTGTGTGTGTGAGTTGGTGGCAGTGGGTGTGTGTGAGTTGGTGGCAGTGTGTGTGTGTGTGAGTTGGTGGCAGTGGGTGTGTGTGTGAGTTGGTGGCAGTGGGTGTGTGTGTGAGTTGGTGGCAGTGTGTGTGTGTGTGAGTTGGTGGCAGTGGGTGTGTGTGAGTTGGTGGCAGTGGGTGTGTGTGTGAGTTGGTGGCAGTGGGTGTGTGTGTGAGTTGGTGGCAGTGTGTGTGTGTGTGAGTTGGTGGCAGTGTGTGTGTGTGTGAGTTGGTGGCAGTGTGTGTGTGAGTTGGTGGCAGTGGGTGTGTGTGTGAGTTGGTGGCAGTGTGTGTGTGTGTGAGTTGGTGGCAGTGGGGTGTGTGTGAGTTGGTGGCAGTGGGTGTGTGTGAGTTGGTGGCAGTGGGTGTGAGTTGGTGGCTGTGGGTGTGAGTGTGAGTTGGTGGCAGTGGGTGTGTGTGTGAGTTGGTGGCAGTGGGTGTGTGTGTGAGTTGGTGGCAGTGTGTGTGTGTGAGTTGGTGGCAGTGGGTGTGTGTCTGAGTGTGACAGTGTGTGTGTGTGTTGGTGGCAGTGTGTGTATGTGAGGGTGAATGTGAGTTGGTGGCAGTGGGTGTGAGTGTGAGTTGGTGGCAGTGGGTGTGAGTGTGAGTTGGTGGCAGTGGGTGTGAGTGTGAGTTGGTGGCGGGGGATGTGAGTGTGAGTTGGTGGTGGGGGTGTGGGTGTGAGTTGGTGGCAGTGGGTGTGGGTGTGAGTTGGTGGCAGTGGGTGTGAGTGTGAGTTGGTGGCAGTGGGTGTGAGTGTGAGTTGGTGGCTGTGGGTGTGAGTGTGAGTTGGTGGCAGTGGGTGTGAGTGTGAGTTGGTGGCAGTGGGTGTGAGTGTGAGTTGGTGGCAGTGGGTGTGAGTGTGAGTTGGTGGCGGGGGGTGTGGGTGTGGGTGTGAGTTGGTGGCGGGGGATGTGAGTGTGAGTTGGTGGTGGGGGTATGGGTGTGAGTGTGAGTTGGTGGCGGGGGGTGTGAGTGTGAGTTGGTGGCGGGGGGTGTGAGTGTGAGTTGGTGGCGGGGGGTGTGGGTGTGAGTGTGAGTTGGTGGCAGTGGGTGTGAGTGTGAGTTGGTGGCGGGGGGTGTGGGTGTGGGTGTGAGTTGGTGGCGGGGGATGTGAGTGTGAGTTGGTGGTGGGGGTATGGGTGTGACTGTGAGTTGGTGGCAGTGGGTGTGAGTGTGAGTTGGTGGCAGTGTGTGTGAGTGTGAGTTGGTGGCAGTGGGTGTGAGTGTGAGTTGGTGGCTGTGGGTGTGAGTGTGAGTTGGTGGCAGTGGGTGTGAGTGTGAGTTGGTGGCAGTGGGTGTGAGTGTGAGTTGGTGGTGGGGGTGTGGGTGTGAGTTGGTGGCTGTGGGTGTGAGTGTGAGTTGGTGGCAGTGGCAGTGGGTGTGAGTTGGTGGCAGTGTGTGTGTGTGTGAGTTGGTGGCAGTGGGTGTGAGTGTGAGTTGGTGGCAGTGGGTGTGAGTGTGAGTTGGTGGCAGTGGCAGTGGGTGTGAGTGTGAGTTGGTGGCGGGGGGTGTGAGTGTGAGTTGGTGGCAGTGGGTGTGAGTGTGAGTTGGTGGCAGTGGGTGTGAGTGTGAGTTGGTGGCAGTGAGTGTGAGTGTGAGTTGGTGGCGGGGGGTGTGAGTGTGAGTTGGTGGCAGTGAGTGTGAGTGTGAGTTGGTGGCAGTGGGTGTGAGTGTGAGTTGGTGGCAGTGGGTGTGAGTGTGAGTTGGTGGCAGTGGGTGTGAGTTGGTGGCTGTTGGGCGCTGTGAGAGGCGTCTCCCGGTTGCCAGGTAACGGTTGCCGGGGGAGAGCGTCGGGGCCATTGGTGTGAGCGAGTGAGAGGCTGAGAGCAGACACAGGGCCGCAGCTCTGCCCCGCGCCCTGTGCCCTGTGCCCCTGTGCCCTGCCCCTGCCCTGTGCCCTGTCCCTGTCCCTGTGCCCTGCCCCTGCCCTGTGCCCTGTCCCTGCCCTGTGCCCTGTGCCCTGCCCCTGCCCTGTGCCCTGCCCCTGCCCTGTGCCCTGTCCCTGCCCTGTGCCCTGTCCCTGCCCTGTGCCCTGCCCCTGCCCTGTGCCCTGTGCCAGCCCTGTGCCCTGTGCCAGCCCTGTGCCCTGTGCCAGCCCTGTGCCCTGTGCCAGCCCTGTGCCCTGTGCCCTGTGCCCTGCCCCTGCCCTGTGCCCTGCCCCTGCCCTGTGCCCTGTCCCTGCCCTGTGCCCTTCCCTGTGCCCTGCCCCTGCCCTGTGCCCTGTGCCCTGTCCCTGTGCCCTGTCCCTGCCCTGTGCCCCTGTGCCCTGTGCCCTGTGCCCTGCCCCTGCCCTGCCCCTGCCCTGTGCCCTGTGCCCTGCCCCTGCCCTGTGCCCTGTGCCCTGCCCCTGCCCTGTGCCCTGTGGCCTGTCCCGGGATGGACCTGGACACGCTGCCGCAGCATGTGGACTACCTGTCCAGCAGTGGGCTGCTGCTGAGTCCGGAGCAGAAGGCGGCGCTGCAGACCTCACTGGAGTTGGTGCGGAAACAGTACCGACTGCGGAGCGTGTACCTGTGGGGCAAAATCCTGGGCCTCAACGCCGACTACCTGGTGGCTCAGGGCGTGGAGAAGGACGAGCTGTACAACAGGAAGACACTGTACTGGTCAGCACCCACCAGCCACCTCACTAGCCAACACAGCACCCACTAGCCACCTCACTAGCCAACACAGCACCCACTAGCCACCTCACTAGCCAACACAGCACCCACCAGCCACCTCACTAGCCAACACAGCACCCACTAGCCACCTCACTAGCCAACACAGCACCCACCAGCCACCTCACTAGCCAACACAGCACCCACCAGCCACCTCACTAGCCAACACAGCACCCACTAGCCACCTCACTAGCCAACACAGCACCCACTAGCCACCTCACTAGCCAACACAGCACCCACCAGCCACCTCACTAGCCAACACAGCACCCACTAGCCACCTCACTAGCCAACACAGCACCCACCTAGCCACCTCACTAGCCAACACAGCACCCACTAGCCACCTCACTAGCAAACACAGCACCCACTAGCCACCTCACTAGCCAACACAGCACCCACCAGCCACCTCACTAGCCAACACAGCACCCACCAGCCACCTCACTAGCCAACACAGCACCCACTAGCCACCTCACTAGCCAACACAGCACCCACTAGCCACCTCACTAGCAAACACAGCACCCACTAGCCACCTCACTAGCCAACACAGCACCCACCAGCCACCTCACTAGCCAACACAGCACCCACTAGCCACCTCACTAGCCAACACAGCACCCACTAGCCACCTCACTAGCCAACACAGCACCCACCAGCCACCTCACTAGCCAACACAGCACCCACTAGCCACCTCACTAGCCAACACAGCACCCACTAGCCACCTCACTAGCCAACACAGCACCCACCAGCCACCTCACTAGCCAACACAGCACCCACCAGCCACCTCACTAGCCAACACAGCACCCACCAGCCACCTCACTAGCCAACACAGCACCCACTAGCCACCTCACTAGCCAACACAGCACCCACCAGCCACCTCACTAGCCAACACAGCACCACTAGCCACCTCACTAGCCAACACAGCACCCACTAGCCACCTCACTAGCCAACACAGCACCCACTAGCCACCTCACTAGCCAACACAGCACCCACTAGCCACCTCACTAGCCAACACAGCACCCACCAGCCACCTCACTAGCCAACACAGCACCCCACGAGCCACCTCACTAGCCAACACAGCACCCACCAGCCACCTCACTAGCCAACACAGCACCCACCAGCCACCTCACTAGCCAACACAGCACCCACCCAGCCACCTCACTAGCCAACACAGCACCCACTAGCCACCTCACTAGCCAACACAGCACCCACCAGCCACCTCACTAGCCAACACAGCACCCACCAGCCACCTCACTAGCCAACACAGCACCCACCAGCCACCTCACTAGCCAACACAGCACCCACTAGCCACCTCACTAGCCAACACAGCACCCACCAGCCACCTCACTAGCCAACACAGCACCCACTGCCACCTCACTAGCCAACACAGCACCCACTGCCACCTCACTAGCCAACACAGCACCCACTAGCCACCTCACTAGCCAACACAGCACCCACCAGCCACCTCACTAGCCAACACAGCACCCACCAGCCACCTCACTAGCCAACACAGCACCCACTGCCACCTCACTAGCCAACACAGCACCCACTGCCACCTCACTAGCCCAACACAGCACCCACTAGCCACCCTCACTAGCCAACACAGCACCCACCAGCCACCTCACTAGCCAACACAGCACCACTAGCCACCTCACTAGCCAACACAGCACCCACCAGCCACCTCACTAGCCAACACAGCACCCACTAGCCACCTCACTAGCCAACACAGCACCCACCAGCCACCTCACTAGCCAACACAGCACCCACTAGCCACCTCACTAGCCAACACAGCACCCACCAGCCACCTCACTAGCCAACACAGCACCCACTAGCCACCTCACTAGCCAACACAGCACCCACCAGCCACCTCACTAGCCAACACAGCACCCACTAGCCACCTCACTAGCCAACACAGCACCCACCAGCCACCTCACTAGCCAACACAGCACCCCACTAGCCACCTCATAGCCAACACAGCACCCACTAGCCACCTCACTAGCCAACACAGCACCCACTAGCCACCCTCACTAGCCAACACAGCACCCACTAGCCACCTCACTAGCCAACACAGCACCTACTAGCCACCTCACTAGCCAACACAGCACCCACTAGCCACCTCACTAGCCAACACAGCACCCACTAGCCACCTCACTAGCCAACACAGCACCCACTAGCCACCTCACTAGCCAACACAGCACCCACTAGCCACCTCACTAGACAAAACAGCACCCACTAGCCACCTCACTAGCCAACACAGCACCCACCAGCCACCTCACTAGCCAACACAGCACCCAACAGCCACCTCACTAGCCAACACAGCACCCACCAGCCACCTCACTAGCCAACACAGCACCCACTAGCCACCTCACTAGCCAACACAGCACCCACCAGCCACCTCACTAGCCAACACAGCACCCACTAGCCACCTCACTAGCCAACACAGCACCCACCAGCCACCTCACTAGCCAACACAGCACCCACCAGCCACCTCACTAGCCAACACAGCACCCACTAGCCACCTCACTAGCCAACACAGCACCCACTAGCCACCTCACTAGCCAACACAGCACCCACTAGCCACCTCACTAGCCAACACAGCACCCACTAGCCACCTCACTAGCCAACACAGCACCCACTAGCCACCTCACTAGCCAACACAGCACCCACCAGCCACCTCACTAGCCAACACAGCACCCACTAACCACCTCACTAGCCCACACAGCACCAACTAGCCACCGCTCCCTCCGTTCAGTGGGCTCCATGTCTCCCGCCTGACCCGCCCTACCATCGGTGGCCGGGCTTTCAGCCTCTCTGCCCCCACACTCTGGAGCTCCATCCCTTCGCATCGCTTCCTCCTTTGCCTCCTTCAAGGCCGGTCTCAAGACCCTTCTCTTCGACCGTGTCTTCGGTCGCCCTCCCACCTCTCTGCCTTCCCTCACCCCTACACCACCCCTCCCCCATCGCTCGGGCCCCGACACCTGACTCTTCAGCGCTTTGGGACGTCCTCCTGACGTGAAGGGCGCTCTATAAATGTAATTTTGTTTTTGTTGCTGTTGTTTGTGAGCAATAGGTTGGCATGTTTTGCCCACAAAATACAGTCAATCCACTTTACAGTATATTGTGTGAAGCTCTTTGAGAAATCTCAACGACATAATCAGGCGCTTTATCAAATGCAAGGATTATTATTATTGTTATATCTTTCTCCGTACTGATTGATTTCACAGCTTGAACTACATGGATTGGAAGCTTCTTCCCCCGGCAACGGATGAAATGATCACCAATTGCTCAGTGATTAAAGGCCGTTTCATGGGCAATCCTGCTTATGAATACGAGAGCGGTGATGTGAAGAAAATGACGGGCGGTGGCGTGACCAAGGACAGCCATTCGGTAAGAGTAACTGAACGACACAACAAGTTACATTTGCATAACGCCTTTCACGTCTGGAGGAAGTTCCAAGGTGCTGGACTGTCAAGAATTTGTACCCGAGCTGTGGGTTAGGATCAAGAGGGGTGGAGGGCACGAAAGTTGGGGACGGAGAGTGACCAAAGGTGCGGTCGAAGAGGAAGGTCTTGTGACAGGCCAAACATTGTAAACGCCTAGCCATGGAACCCAGGAGAAAGTACTTACATTTTATTATTATAATAATAAAAATTATAATAATAGTATAATATAATTTTATTATAATAATAAAGATAATAATCTTCACTTTCCTTACAGGCTTTTCACGTTGGGAGGACATCTCAAAATGCTTCACACAAAATACTGTGAAGTGTAGGGACTGCGTATTTTTATCAGGTCAAATGGGCATTTAAAGATCCACTATAATAATAATAACAATAATAATAATAATAATTCTTGCATTTGATATAGAGCCTTATGAGCAGCACGCATCCCTCTAGGGAGTGCACATTCAATTCCAACAATCTATCTCTGGAATTTCCGTGTGTAAATGGGATGCATGGAATTCTCAGTTTAGTTTGGATACTATAAAGCATGGGGATGGGCACTTAGCTGACCAAAAAGAACAAGTTTGAACAGAATGTACTCAGTGTGGACTTTCCTTCTTCTTAGCTGTGGGTTGGGCTGCAGTTGGGAGTCTTGTATATAGTTTTGGACTAGCTGTTTCACCCAGGTGTAGGGAAGAGATGGGATTCAATGGGCTCTCCTCAGGGATGAGGGGCTCCGATTATGAGCCCATAATATAGTGTTTAGTGTGCTCGCCTCCCAAGCGAGAAGACCCAGGTTCAAATATCGGGCAGAGCAAAATCTTTGGCAAGTTTCCTTCCTCCACACGCCTATGTTTACCTAGCAGTAAGTAGGAACCCGGTTGTTAGTCGATTGGCTAGTAGTAATCCCTCCCAATAAAATATGTTTCAAGTCACATCTCAAAATATACTTCTTTGACCGTGTTTTCAGTCATCCTTCCTCTCGCCACTCCACTCAGCTCCAACCACCAGCTGAGGTGTCCATCCAGCACTGTTTGTGTTATTTTTGGTCAGTAGCCGGGTGTCTGGCACATGCGGAAACCCATCGCCGTGCTTAAGGGTATCCGAATTAAACTGAGAATTCCATGTATTCCAGCTACACAGGGAAATCCCAGAGATAGATTGTTGGAATGGAATGCGCACTCTCTCCTTGGAGGGAAACATCCTGCTTATCTAATACCAGAGTGTTAGGCGTAAATTAGCACGACCCAATGCTTGGGGACCCAAGAGTGTCCAGGAGACATGAAAATCACTGTGTAAATGAAAATTGTATTGTTATAGTATTCTGTTTTCTTGTGATCAAGTTTTGTATTTGAAGGTGAACTGATACGTTCTTTGCGTTTTATTTTTAAAAAGAGCCGAATAAAAGAGGAGGAGAGATTAACCTCTGTGATCGCCTGCATCAACAGAGATGTGGCCATCATCCCCAGGGGAGCATTCATCAAAACACCTACAGAAGATTATATCAGCATTAACAGGGTCTTTAAAGGTTAAAAAATGGTTTCAATTTGGAATTAATCTTTAAATTGCAGGAGAAGTTTGATGTGTGTGGTCACCACTATCTGTAGCTGTTCTGCCACCTTCAGAGATTTGCTTATGTGGACCCCTGGTCTCTCTATTCATTTGCCCCCTTTAAGATTGTATCATCTGGTTTATACTGCCTCTCCTCATTCTTCCTACCAAAATGCAACACTTCACATTTCTCCACATTAACTCTCATCTGCCATGTTTCTGCCAATTTTACCAATTTGTCTAAGTGCTCTTGGAGTCTGGTGCTATCCTCCTCACCATGAACTACTTTTTCTAGATTAGTATCGTCTGCAAATGTGGCAATTGTGCTCCCTATATCCAGGTCCAGATCATTAATATAGATCAGAAAGAGCAGTACCCGACCCCTGAGGGACACCACTACACACCTCCCTCCAGTCAGAAAGGCCATTGTTTACTACCACTCTCTGCTTTATAGCCAGTTCTGGATCCATGTTGCACAGTCCCTTTAATACCACGGGCTTCTATTTTGTTTATAAGTCTCTTATGTGGCACTTTGTCAAATGGCTTTTGAAAATCTAGGTAATCTAGGTCTACTGCACTACCTTCATCCACCCTCTTCATCCATCATCTGTTTGGATGAAGAAGACTCTTCGGCCCATCTGACCTCATCCCTCCAGAACACCTACCCTATGTCCCCCATCACAGCATCAACCTTTTTTTAAATGAGTCCTAGTGTCCTGGCCTCAACCACCCTTCCTGGTAACCTGTTTCAGTTGTTAATTACCCTCTGGGTAAAGAAATACTCCTTGGTGTCTGTCCTGAAATTGCCCTTTACAACTCTAAACCTGTGTCCTCTTGTTCTACTGTCTTAGTGAATCCTAATGTATCGTTACTGGTTTACTTTTTCAGTCCCATTTATCCCTGTCTGAAGTCCTCTCTGAATCATCTTCTCTCAAGACTGAAAAACGTTAGCTTGTCTGATCATTACTCACAGCTCGTTGCTACCTGTGTTCTGGGGGAATGGGAAGGCAGTTCTGCATACAGACTTCCATATTCTGAGACAATCAAGCAACATGCCAGATTGTTTATCCATCCCAATTGCTCACTGGTTCCTCCTCCTCGTAGACCATGCCATTCTATATAAAACCTGACCTGGTGCCATTGAATTGCCCACAAATACCTTATTTCTCTTCACTTCACAGCAGTTCCCTGTGAAGTGATTGGAAACGTTTCCAAATGTTTCGGTGCTGCATAACAACAACAACAAAATTACATTTGTACAGAGCCTTTCACATCAGGAGGATGTCCCAAGGCGTTGGACAGACAGAGTTATGGACCCAAGCTGAGGGTTGGGGTGGGGGAGGGGGGAGGGCAGGGGGTGAAGCAGGGAGATCGAAAACACTGTCGAAGAAGAGGGTTTTGAGGTGGGTCTTGAAGGTGACGAGGGAGGGGTTGAGATGGAAAGACTGCGGGATGGAGTTCTATTGGGTGGGTGCAGAGTGGCGGATAGTGGGGCAAGCAAGGCGGGGGATGTGAAGCAGGTCAGAGTCCACTGAGCGGAGGGAGCAAACAGGGTGGTAGGGGGTTAGGAGGTCGGAGAGGTAGGGGGGAGCAAGACCGTGGAAGGCTTTGAAGGTGAGGACCAGGATCTTGAAGGTATCCTCTGAGTGATGGGAAGCCAATGGACATGCAGAGTCTATTATTGTTATGATCCAGATCTTGATAAAGTCAGTAAACGTGACTGACTGTATATCGTTCAGTTGCCAAACCTTTTCCAGTTCTGTATTATATTACTAATTGTAGGAAGGATATTGTTGCATTGGAGAAAAAAACATAGATAATAATAGTATTTCTGCATTTGATATAGCGCCCTTATCACATCTTCCAGACATCTCAAAGTGCTTCACAGAATACATTGCAAAGTGAAATAAATGACTGTTTTGTGTGCAAAACACGACAGCCAATTGCGCACAGCAGTATCCCACAACCGGTCGTGGATTAAGTGGTCAAGTTATTGTTTTTTTAAATGTTTTTGAAAGGATTACCCCTGGAAAAGCTATCCACCAATCGACTAACAACTGGGTTATATAAGAGGGGATTAGAGGGGAGTAGGATAGGGAAATAGAAGAGTGTAGGAGAGGGGAATAGAGGGGTGTAGGAGATGGGAATAGAGAGATAGGTGAGGGCAATAGAGGGATGTAGGAGAGAAACAGGGGGGCAGGAAAGGGGAATAGAGGGGTGTAGGCGAAGGGAAGAGTGGTGTAGACGGGGGGAATAGAGGAGTGTAGGAGAAAGGAATAGAGGGGTATAGAAACTGTACTAGAGGGGTGTAGGAGAGGGGAATAAGGCGTGGAGGTTTATGTGTAGTATAAACACTGGGTGGACTACTTGGGCTGTTTGTTGTGGCATTCTATGTAAGTCTATGTGGGTGAGGATGTGTGTGGTAAAAGCCCTGTTTCATGCCGCTATCTGGCTGCTCCTCAGGTCTGTCGCACTCTGAGGCAGGGAAGCTGCGATCGTACCTGCACTTCACGGAGCCCAAAGAGCTGAAGAAGAAGTCACTGTTGGAGAGAGCGGAGCTGGACATGTCCATCGACTTCCTTGATTGTGTGGAGGACGATATTCTGAAAGGTAAGCGCTTCCCGAGTCTCGGAGACTGAGGTTAGTGGAGTAAGTTACAAAACAAATGACACTGTTCATCTGTGACCAGTGCTCTCTCTTGTCTCCTTGTCCTTTCTTGAGCTCTCTGCTGCCTTCAATACGGTTGACCACTTTATCCTTCTCCAATGCCTCTCCTATCATATCCACCTTCATGGTTGTGCCCTTACCTGGTTTCAACCTTACCCTTCTCATCATCTGTACTTTGTTTCCACCAATGGCTTTTCCTCCAGTCCTTATACCAACTTGTGGGGTGTTCCTCAGGCTCTGTCCTCGTCCTCTTTAACATTTACATGCTTCCTCTCGGTAATGTCATCCACATGCATGGGGTTAGCTTCCACATGTATGCAGATAATAATAATCCTTGCATTTGATATCACATCTTCGAGACGTCTCAAAGTGCTTCACAGAATATACTGTAAAGTGAATTGACGATATTTTGTGGGTGAAACACAGCAGCCAATTGCGCACAGCAGAGTCCCACAAACAATCATGGATTGAAATGACCAATTTTTTTTGTGGAAAGAATTATGACCCCCAGAAAAGCCATCTGCCAATTGACTAAGAACCAGATTCCTACTTATTGCTAGGTAAACAGGCGTGTGGAATAAGGAAACTTTCCCAACATTTAACCCTGCCGGGAATTGAACCCAGGTCTCTCGCTTGCGAGGCGAGTGCTCTAACCACTGAGCTGCAGGACTCCACAGTGACACCCAACTCTATCTCTGTGCTTTCACCCTCGACTCCAGGACCACTGCTGTCCTAACAAACTGTAGGTCAGATATCAAGTCCTGGATGAGAGACAACTTTTTCCAGCTGAACATTGGCAAGACAGAGACTCTCCTGCTTGGCTCCCGTCAGTGCCTTCTCACCTCAGGTCCTGAGGAGCATCACTGTATTCTCACAATGCCAGTACGGAACCTTAGTGTCCTGTTCGACCCTCAGCTGTCCGTCAAAACCCACATCCATGCCACGAACAATTCTGCCTTCCCCCACCTCCGCAACATCGCCAGGCTCCGCCATTGCTCCTCCCCTCAGGCCTCTGAGACCCTCATTCATGCATTCGTGGAATCCTGTAGCTCAGCAGTTGGAGCTCTCGCAAGCGAGAAACCTGGGTTCAATTCCCGGCAGGGCAAAAAGTTTCCTTACTCCACACACCTGTTTACCTAGCAGTAAGTAGGAACCCAGTTGTTAATCAATTGACGGACCGCTTTTCCCGGGATAATAATCCTTAAAAAAAAATTTGGTCATTCAATCCATGACTGTTTGTGGGACACTGCTGTGCGCAATTGGCTGATGCGTCTCGCCCACAAATATGCAGTTAATTCACTTTATAGTATAATCTGTAAAGCGCTTTGAGTTGTCTAGAAGACGTGAAAAGCACTGTAACAAATGCAAGTATTATTATTATTCGTCACATCCAGGCTCGACAACACTAACTCCTGCTCACAGGATTCCAAACTTTTCCCTCCACAAACTGCAGCTTGTGTTCTCTCCCTCTAAGCTCCGTGAACCGATTGCCCCCTTCCTTGCCTCCTTCAAGACCCGTCTCAAAACCTTCCCCTTTGACCGTGCCTTTGGCCATCTGTCTGTCTATCTGTGTGTGTCTCTGCCTGTGTATCAGCGCTTTCCCGATGTGAAAGGTGCTGTACAAATGTAATTTCGTATTTTGTATCTCTCTGCATGCCTGATTGTGTGTCTGTCTGACTTTGTGACTCTGCCTACATGTGTGCGTGCCTATGTGTGTATGCCTGATGTGTGCATGTGTACCTGTCTGTGAGACTTTGTGTGTGTCTCGGTGGATCACTCCATGTCCCTCTCAAACCCACCAAGAGACACTGTCCCTGACTCCATTGCATGGTGATGGTTTTGCAGGGTCGTGGAGTGTGCAGTATGACCGAGGTGCCCTGGTGGTGATCAGAAGCCTCCTCTGGCCAGGGTACAGCTTTTTCCACGTGCCCAACACTTCTAAGTTCGGCTCAATGTACATGGGATTGGCTGAGAAGAACATCGACTTCCCTTTCATGGTGTGACGCTTACTCCCAATCAGGGAGAGCCAGAGACGACCACAGCATCAGTCCGCGACCAGTTTAATCAGTGCGGGCTCAATTTAATCAACACAAATACTCATTTTCCAATTTGTAATCTGTACATTTACTATAAATTAGCAATTGTTCACAATCTGTGGCCTCTGTCCAAAGGGTTTTTATTGCTTTTATATATAAAAAAAACTGGATGGCGGAGGCGATGGGATGCTGGTGCCAGTCACAGTGTAGCCCCCTCAATGCTTTATGTACAATGGCTTCTTTCCGTACACCATGTTGTCCTTCAGGAGAGGGTCTCCTACCGACATGCGCACCTTACGCCACTTCAGACCCCTCTTCCAGATGGGTTTCACCGAGTCAATGGACCAGCGAGTGAGGTACCTGCACAAACAGAGATCACAGCTCAGGACACACCTACATATGAACATGTACATGGTGTCCACAAAGCCTGCCCACCTCCCCCCACACCCACACAAAACAGTGATTTGAGACTACAAAGGAGCTGAAACAAGCCGTCAGAGATCCATTTGACCTCGTCACTCCATCATGTTACGGAAGATGTGACATCGAACACGGCAACAGATCTTTATCTACCATGAAAATGACGGCGCTCACACACACTGATCCTCTGGATGTCTGAATACAGTTAAATACTTGTACTGACTACAATGAAGTACTTCTAAATATGATTATTATCATTCTTCCATGTTGGTCAGGGGAGTGGAGAGAGAGAAAATGGGGTAAGAGACCAGGAAACTAGAAACTCATTAGCTTGACCTCAATCATCAGAAAGGAAGTGGAAGATTACTGTACAGTGCTCTAGTCAGGCCATACCTTGAATACTGTATATAGTTCTGGTCACTGACACAAGGGGCTGCTCACGCTCGAGTGGCCATGCGGAGGAGAGCAAGGAGGATGATCCCCAGGGTGACAGGAAAGAACTGTAAGCAACGATTAGACAAGCTAGAGCTCTTCAGTCTTTAATGAAAACTTCATAGAGGTGTACAACAGTTTTAAATGAGATTGAAAAAGTCAATCTAATACTTTAGGATTCACTAAGACAGTAGAACAAGAGGACACAGGTTTAGAGTTGTAAAGGGCAATTTCAGGACAGACACCAGGGAGTTTTACTTTACCCAGAGGGTAATTAACAACTGGAACAGGTTACCAGGAAGGATGGTTGAGGCCAGGACACTAGGACTCATTTAAAAAGCAGCTCAATGGAGTGATGAGGGGATGGTAGGTGGGTATTTTGGAGGGATGAGATCAGGTGGGCCGAAGGGTCTTCTTCATCCAAACCAATCTTCTAATTTTATGATGGAAACCTGTTAGAAAATCCCACGGCTCTGTGAAATGTGATGTTGAACGGTGTGAGAGAGAAGAAACCTTTGCTGCCAGATCCACAGTTTTTTTTTGTTGGTCAGCTGAGTGTCTGACACATGCGGAAATCCATCCCCATAGGTTCCAAAGCTGAGAATTCAATGCCTCCCACCGACACATGGAAATCCCAGATAGATTGTTGTAATGGAATGTGCACTCTCTCCCCGGAGAGACGCATCCCGTTTACCCAATCCCGTAAAGTATTAGGCACAGGATGGCAAGAGCAAAGGCTTGTGAAGCATGCAGTGTGTGTTAGGATAACTGCTGGAGTTTAACCAGCTAATACCACACATCTTACCATTGATAGCAATGTCTGCCAAACTTTCACGTTAGGGCTTTGGCTTGCAGGATTAACAGGAGCTTGAGTGGGAGGATTCGCTGCCTCCAGTGACTAGTTAACAGGGTGATAAATCATGGCATAATAACAATACTTACATTTGACACAGCGCCCTACTTCAGAGATTTATCGTAAAGTGCAGTGACTGTTTTGCAGGTGAACATGACAGCTCAGTCAATCAGCAATAAACCACTTGTTCATTCCTAGCTTGAGAAATGTTTGCTCCCTTTTTATCAAAGTCACCTTCCTCCTCCCAGTGGCTTCAGGAGACAGAAACATCGGGAACTGAACGTGGCTGATGAACTCCATATTTACGTGCTTTGAATACTCCACAGTCCAGACTGAACCAGTTTAACATCCCACAAGCAATGAGGCATGCGTCATATCACCTGCGCCAATCTCAACGGCTGTTTATTGGAAACTATTTCAGGACGTAGTTACGTTTCACCGTACTATTTTAGTGCTGTTCCTCTGAGCTAAAGGAAGATTTGTCCCATGATTAGCAGGGGCGTTTATCTGCTGCCTTTTGAAGCACTGGGAAAGCTTAAGAACTGTTGTGCAAAAAAAAGAGCAGGCGAGATATGCAGGATAACAGACTGAATGGTCACACTGCCCCAGACTTACTGAAAATCTCAGCCTCTCGCTGTCTGTGTGCTCAAACCTCAGTTCTCCTTTGCTCGGCGTCCAACCGCATTAATAATAACAATAATACTTGCATTTGATATAGCCCAGAGGTGTGTGGAGTAAAGAAACTTGCCTAAGGTTTCACCCCGATCGGAAATCAAACCTGCGTCTCCTCAGCCGAGCAGGCCGAGCGCTCAGGACGCTATCCGGCGTGAAGGGAGCTATATAAGTGCAAGTTGTTGTTGTTGAGCCCAATCCTGTGCAAGTAAAATGTCTGGCTCACTTGTCTCTAGTCTCTGGAACTCCCTCCCTCCCTTCCTTCTTTCCTCCCTCCCTTCCTTCCTTCCTTCCTTTCTCCCTCCCTCCATCTGTCCCTCCATTCCCACTTCCAAAATCTATCAAAAACCCTCTCGATGACTGCACTCCAGCCTCCTGATCCCAACCCCCAGCTAGGGTGCAAACCCTTAACTGTTAAGTGCCTTGGGACATCTTCCCAAAAGTCGCTGTATAAATGACATTTTGTTCTTGTTGCACAAAATTCAGCCTCTGTTCTACCCTGCATCTCCCACACTGATTCACCCACTGACTCTATGAGGACTCTGGGGGTGAGAGGGATCAGCTAGGGGTGAGGGGCAGAATTTGGAGTGAGGGGAGCGTCTGGGGGTGAGGGGGAAGTGTCTGGGGTGAAGGGGGTGCTGGGGTCAGGGGATTGTCTGGGGGTGAGGGGGTGTTTTGACAGTAAGGGGGACTGTCTGAGGATAACGGGGAGTGTCTGGAAGCGAGGGAGGAGTGTCTGAGGGTTAGTGGGGATTGTCTAGGGGTCAGGGCTCGTCTCTGGGGGTGAGGAGGAGCGTCTGGGGTGAAGGGGGAGCATCTGGGGATGAGGGGTAGCATAAAGGGGTGAGGAGGGAGTGTCCCGGGGTGAGGGGGAGTGATCGGGGGTCAGGGAGTGTATTCGGAGGTGAGGGGGGAGTATCTGAGGGTGAGGGTCTGGGGGTGAGCGTCCAGTGGAGAGCAGGAGCGTCTTGGGTGAGAGGGAGTGTCTGGGGTGAGGGGGCGTGTCTGGTTTGTTTCCAGATCCATTACTGCTGGCCTGCTCCATTTCCCCGGCCCGGCCCACTATCAGTAGTCGGGCCTTCGGTCTCTCTGTCCCTACCCTTTGGAACTCCATTCCACATTCCATTCATCTCACTTCCTCGCTTACCTCCTTCAAGGCACGTCTCAAGACCCTCCTCTTTGACCGCGCCTTCGGCCACCCTCCTACCCTCCACCCTCCCCGATCCCAAACCCCCAGCTCCGGTCCAAATCCCTGACTGCCCACCTGATGTGAAAGCCGCTAGACAAATGTAATTTGTGTTGTATTGTAATGTAATGTTGAGTCCTTGAATTACTGTGTTTAGTGGATGAGACTCGGAACCGATGGAAGTGTGAAAGAAATCTGTTTTGCTGCTTTCTGACTTCCACTTGTGCGAAACGCACGCTTCGAGGCTTCTGACTAAAGTAGGTCAACAGCTCCACGCAGAGCATAAAGTTCCCCCCCACCCCCGAGGCTACTCGGGTGACGTCAAATGCTGACACTGGGGGTCAAGGAGTTTGTTAAACTCCTCCAAAGCCGGAAGCCAGCTTCTCAGGCTGCGACACAGGAGCACGAGTTGTGATCCACAAACACTTGTCACACAAAGAACTGGAAGAATAGGGAGTGGGCTCACTCCCCCCCCGCCCCCCAACAAAGGCTCAAAGACACAGACTCAATTAATCGTTCTTAAAAGGGTTGGATCCTTGGGAAGCAAGAGACATGGGGAAAAAGCAGAGAAATGTCAAGGCCTTGGAGGGGCAGAGGAGATTTACAAGAATTATACCAGGGATGAGGGAATTCATTTATGTGGAGATACTAGAGAGACTGGGATTATTCTACTTAGAGCAGAGAGGGTTGAGGGGAGATTTAATAGAGGTGTTCAAAATGATGAGGGGTTTTCATAAGAGTAAATAAGGAGTAAATGTTTCCTCTGGCAGGTGGGTTGGTACCCAGAGGACACAGATTTAAGATAATTGGCAAAAGAACCAGAGGGGAGACCAGGAGATTTTTTTTTAACGCAGAGTTCTTATGATTTGGAATCCACTGTCTTTGAAAAGGGAATTGGATAGGTACTAAAAAAGAAAAAAATTGCAGGGCTATGGGGTAGAAGTGGGACAGTTAGATAACTCTTTCAAAGAGCTGGGACAGGCACGATGGGCCGAATGGCCTTCTTCTGTGCTGTAAGATTCTATGAGTCTATGAAATGGGATTAGAAAGATAAAGAGCTGCCGTAAACCAACAGAATGGCAGAACAAGTTCGAAGGGCCAATTGGCCCACCCAGTTGGCATGAATTCTTAGCTCCATCGAGATTTACCAACGGTTATGTAACCCCCGACTGCCAGGTTTGCATGTGGGGTTGTTCCTGTATGCAAATTGGCTACTGTGTTCACCTACAAAATACACAGTAAAATCCTATGAAGCACTTTGAGACATCCATATTTTCAAAATAAATAAAAATTTGGTCACTCAATCTATAACTGTTTGTGGGACACTGCTGTGTGCAATTGGCTGCCGCGTTTCACCCACCAAAATACTTTCAGACGTTTCAATGTGATAAATTGCTGTACAAATGTAATCTTGTTGTTGTATCAAATGAAAGGATTATTATTATCAGTTTCACTGAAAGTTGTCACATCAGATATAATGGTTATTTCTTAAAATGAAATTTGTGAGTATTGAGTTACTAAAACATTGTATGCTGCAGGATGATCGAGTCCAAATCTGTCCTTCGTATGAGATGTTAAATCGAGGTCCTCTTTGCCTGTTTAGGTGGACTTTACAGATCCTGTGGTACTGTTTGAAAAGAGAAGGGAGTTTCTCTCTCCCAGTGTGTGAGAGGAACAAGAGGGGTAGTGTCAGAGAGAGAAAGGCGACTCAGCAAGGCTAACACAGCGTGTGATTCCAGTGACAGTTTATCTCCTGACGGAACAATTTTGCGTTAGCATGGTAGCCAATTTGTATTT